TTTTTGATGCGTCTCTATTGATGATTCATATTTGTAGAGGTCAAATGACACGCGGCTCTTCATTTCCACCATTTTAAAAGCTTGGCTGTTTTAGCATTTATATGCGTAAATCTAGATTAGTTATCTCTCAGTCTCATTGACATTTTAATTGTATATCTTCGATTACTTTAAAATGTGTCTATAGTAGGGATTTGTATTGCTTTTGTAGATATGCTCTTGTTTGAATTCCACTTCAAACAACTTTTGGATACCCGTATTGAATTATTGATAACAATTTTTCTAGTGATGGATGAATTTAAAGTGCAGAACCAAATACTTCGTAGCATTTTGTGCAGTCGTGTCTTCACATTATATGTTCTTTGGATAGTTTACTCTCATCTTGACCAAATATTATAAAAATTTATTCCAAATAGATACTATCGGGCATTTGCTCAATCGTGCAACGCGCGAATAAAAAAAACTAGTATATATATATATATATATATATATATATATATATATATATATATATATATATATATATATATATATATATATGAAATTATTCATGTAAGGTAGGCCTAAAAATTAAAGTTTCAGGCCTCTTTCAATTGAGGGGTTTCCGAGATGAATTTTGTGAGAAAGTTATCCCTGAAGTTCATATTATATCTACCAAATTTCAGATTAAAATATAATCGGGAAGTCACTTAAATAATTTTTTTAAAATTGGGCAGTTTTTTATAGGGAATTTGACTTTGCACCCCACTTTTTGGCTGAAATTGGACTTTGCACCCCATTTTGAAAAAACTTTGATTTTGCCCCCGGCCCCATTCCACCTAAAATTCATTTGACTTTGCACCCCCCTATTTAGAAATTTTCTTCACAAAATGGTATGTGTTGGGGTGCGAAGTCAAATCCCCCCTTTTTATACATATAACATGCATTTTTGTCAATAATTTAGTTAACTAACTTTCGAATTGCATTTTAAGTTGAAACTTGGTGGTCATAACCTACACTTCATGGAGAATATGCTCACAAAATTTCATTAAAACATTCCACCCGGAAGCACCTCAAATGAAAGAGGCCTACAACTTACAAGCTTTAGGCCTGCCATAGGAGAACACTCCCATATATATACATAGGGGTGAGTTCAAGTAAAAAGTAGTCTTCCCATGAAAAGTGACAACAAATCTTGGCCTTCCATCAATTTAAAATGGATGGATTAGATGAACTTTAAACACAAGAGATGATTTCAAAAAATGTGCAAACTTTTATATTATAAAGTGGATAGTTACTCATTAAAAGTGCACTCATGCGTGTAAAAAAAGATTGTTAAATTTTTTCCACCTTGTGCACTTTTTATTTTGTATCGTATTACACTTTTGTGCTCTACATGTGCACTTTTTGACTGTTCTGATGCACATTTGTCCCAATATTTTTAACAAAAGTTCTCCATAATTACAAATATGCCACCGCGTTTCCAAGCTAAAAATTGATATCTTCCATCCATTTTTTCACATCAATGGCCAAGATTAGTTCTTGTTTTTCACTTAGGAAGTACTTTTTATTTGAACCAAATTCTATATACATATATATAGAATAAAGATCAAATGAGAACATTGTTTAACGTGAGAACGTGAGAACACCACATTTACCCCCAACATGTTGCACAATGAAGCTTGTATATTGCACTTTTTCACATTTTAACAACATTTACCAAAATGTCACCATGTTTATTTAATATAGGCTTAATTCGACCAATTTGAAAATGTGCAACAGAATAGCTCCAATGTGCACCCCATTAATTTAAATGTGAGTGTTTTCACGTTCTCACATTAAACATCGTTCTCACTGGAACCGCACCATATATATATATATATATATATATATATATATATATATATATATATATATATATATATATATATATATATATATATATATATATATATATATATATATATATATATATATATATATATATATATATATATATATATATATATATATATAGAAAGAGAGGAAGCGGTCCAGCCTAGCCGGTCGCCGACTCACTCTCCCTTACGGGAGGTCCTGGGTTCAATTCTCAATGGAGTGAGATTGAGCCCAGTTTACCCCAGGCCCCCCAAACCCCCTCCCCCCGACGCCCCCTAGGGTGAGAGAGAGAGAGAGAGAGAGAGAGAGAGAGGACAAATCATATCAGGCCGGCCTGACGAGGACCGCCATTAGGCCGAGGCCATTTGGGGTCCTTCCCAATTGAATATTTTGATGATTTTTTGAGCACGTTATTCATCAAGTCTAGTTTATTCATACCAAATTTCATCTAAAAATTCAATCGGGAAGACATTTGATATGCATTAATTAGTAGTTCATAAATGAATGTTTTTATGTTTGATTTGTGTAGATTGTTTACCATTTTATTTAGTTTGTAAACATTTGTGCATTTTTAGTTGTAATTGTATTTTAATTTTCATTTGTAAGTTGTAAAATAGAGTTAGGAATTATAGTGTTGGAAAGGAGGACTTTGAAGTGAAGAAAAAGGAGATTTGACTGTCCGGGAGCTAAAACCTGACCGGGTATAACTCTGTACCCGGTCGGGTAAGAAGTGAAAACCGAACTATCAAGGAAACTACATGGCCCGGTCGGGCCCACTACCTCACCCGGTCGGGCCCACTACCTCACCCGGTCGGGTGAGACTTGACCGGGCACAATCCGGCGGGCTTAAAACACAAAATCGTGGGCAAATATCTGATTTTGACATGTACCCCGGTTGGGTATGCCCATTTACCCAGTCGGGTGTCTGCCCCAGGGTGTTGAAAGCACCTATAAATAGCACACTTTTCCTTCACTTTTATTCACTCATTCTTCCATACTCTTAAGCTCAGTTTAGAATAGTATTTCTTTTATATTTTTATAGCATGTTTAGTCTCCACATGAGGAGCTAAACTTTCTTTTCTTGGTATTGCTCTTGAAGCTTGTTGATTATTAAAGTTGTGAGTTATTTTCTTAACTTCTTCCCTTGAATATTAATTCTTTCCTTAATCTATCTATATATTAATGTTGGGGAGTGTTGCTAAGATGACAATTAGTTAACATCTCGACATTAATTATAGTAGTATTTATTTTATTCCTCTATATATTAATGTTGGGGAGTGTTGCTAAGATGACAATTAGTTAACATCTTGACATTAGTTATAGTAGGATTTATCATCTTTAATATTCTTCCTTAAATATTAATTAATTCCTATTCATATTTCATATTAATATTTTGAACATTACTTAAAGGATCAACTAGTTTTGTTTCATATATTAATTATTACTACAAACGATCAACGAACTGATGGTTAATCGTTGATGGTTTCACAAGTAACTTCGGTTTATTAATGCACGGTCGTGGTTAATAAACTTAAGACGGATTAATTTTATTGGTTAAACCGAAACCGTTATGTTGAGGTTATCAATCTCAATTGATTTCATCAAGGAGTTAAGAGATTAAATGCTACTATCAAGTCGGCATATATATGGCGGTGTTCTATACTTGACTAATAGTAAGGGTTATTAATGAACGGTCGTTGTTAATAACTACCCTCGATGAATTGGAGATACTCCCCGATTGAGTATTCGAGAGGGGATAAGTTATAGATATAACAATGATCGACTAAAATATATCAACAAGTGGAAAGTAACAATGCCAAGTCCTTTTTATCTTTGAATTAAATCTCGTATAAGTCGTTCATCTTCGTATTTAATTAAAATTAAATCACTCAATCCCAAAGCCCCCCTTATTTACTAGTTTACTAAAAAGAGAATTATTCCTTTCTCTGTGGATACGAACTCTATTTCACCTATACTACGTATAAGTGTTAGTATCGAATTATTTTGACGCACCGTGACAAAGTGTACGTCAACATTCATATAAATTCTCTACAAAACTTGTGCTTTATATATATATTAACACACACACACACACACACACAAACCACACAGTTTGTTTCAACAATTTATTTGACTGCGTTTTCGATTGAATTTTTAGCTTAAATGTGATATGGATAAACCAAACTTGATGTAGAACATGCTCAAAAAATTTCATAGTAAAATTCCCCCAGAAAGGACCCCTGATGGCCTTAGCCGGACGGCGAGTCCTGTCAGGCTGACCTGCAATTAGTGTTTTATTATAGTGATCAAGAGAAAATATTCCCTTGCCCTGTAATTCTCACCTACAAAGGAATTGGTGGTCTTAGAAGCATATATGAAAGTGGATTGTTGAAGTTCCATTTTATAACATAACATCTAGGCAAAAGCTAATATCTGACTTTCCTTTTGCAAAGTGCTTAACAACCTAGCTTCTTTTGAGATTTATATCATAACAATTTCATAAATCTGACAAAAAGAAGTTAATAAGTAATACTATCTCCGTAGTACTAAATTGATTTGCAAAATTGATGTTTTTGTTAAGCAGTTTCATTTTATTTTCCTAATTAGGATGTCAATTTTTAATTACATTGTAATTTAGAGTACGTTTACAATTTTGAAGACATATATATGCATGCAGCTTTAGAATATACGGAGTATAATTTTAATGATTAAAATTGAATTAATTATCAATTAGATATGATTTAAATATGCTTTAGTCCCTGCGAATATGAGACATTTTGTTTTAAGTTCCCGCAAAATATTTTTTGTGGCTTTCATTCATGAAATTTAAGTTGATTTTCTTATTAAGTCTATGACTATTGATAACAACCTCAGTTTGACAACGAAATAACTTCGACTGATAAATTTCCTCTAATTCTTTGTCATGTCATTCAAAAAGTATCTAATTTCATTTTTAAAAGGTTTTTATTACATATTTAAAAATGCGAATAATTAGTTTTGTATTAATTTAACTCTCGTATTAGCCTAAAAATATATAAAATAATATATTTAAATGTTACTAGTAGATTTATGCAACCGACAATAAAAAATCTAAGTATAATTGTTTCCTAGTTAGAGATGAACTAAAACCAAGATAGAGCATATTACAAGGATGAAAAACAAATAATTTATTTCGCAGAAACCTAAAACAGAGTGCGTCATATTTGCAAACACTAAAATCACATTTAAACCATAAAATATCACACTGTAATTGATAAAAAATGTAAACTTTGCTAATCAATTTTGGACGGAGTGAGTAAGTAGGAATAATATAGCTAGTTTAAAGAGTTAAAGTGAAAGTAGTAAGAAATCAAAATCATGTCGATAAATATAATTCATCTAATTCAGTGGGGCGGGGTGGGTACAAATAAAATATGGGAATGGTATGGTGTATGGACAAAGACCTAGCTAATTTAATACTGCATGCGATATATCAGAATAGAAACCCCGACCCGGTCCGTCCTGGCCAATGAAGATGCTAGGTAGAAATGTAGAATGGAATGGTGAAATTAAAGACATGCTATGGACAAATCCAGGTTGATTTCGGCATCTCTACTTGACCGCAAACGTTGTACTTGAGGAGGAGGAGGACGAGCAGGGTTCGTCGTGTCGCCGGCTCTCAAAGGCAAAAAAACAATATTTCTGTCTTCAAAATATGCGTTGCAACTTTCACTGGATGGACCGCCGCCGCCACTTTCTTCCACCTTCGTCATTTCACTCTTCTCACTTCCCTGTGATTCCTGCATGTATATATATATATAGCTCAGTGTTTACACGTAGTATTTACTATTTACAAACAAAAATAAAGGCCGGGACACCTTTTTCTTTGAAAATACCTACCTTATTTGTTGATAAATGACTATTTATCAATGACACATACACTAAAATCGTAATTAGGAGGTTGTTAACGGGTTGTTTTGATTCACCCACTTACTTTTTATAGGTAGACATATTTATATGATACTTTATTGAGTACACGACCTTATATGACGATTCTGTAATAGTAGAAAACCTTATTTCGATCTTTTCCCTTTATTTCATATATGTATTAATTAATGTTGATACCGGCCAAAGAAACGTGTACGTGATCGAATCCATAAGTCGTATAGTATATAATAGGGAAAATGAGCAAATAAGCCCACGTACTAACAAAAAAAGATCAAATAAGCCTTTGTTTAGGAGACTCTGTCCGGCAGTCGCCATTTGGGGCGGTTCCCGATAGAATTTTTTGATGACATATTTTTAGCATCTTATTCATTGAGTGTAATTTACTCATTCCAAGTTTTAGCTAACAATTCAATCGGAAAGCATTCAAATGAATTCTTGAAGATAACTGCGTTTTTAACTGCACAGTTACCTTCAAGAATTCATTTGAAAGCCTTCCCTATTGAAGTTTTAGCTTAAATTTGGTATGCTTAAACTAGACTGAATGAATAACATGTTCAAAAATTTTCAACAAAAAATTCCGGAACCGCCCCAAATGACGACGGCCGGACAGAGCCTTCTAAATAAGGGTTTATTTGATTTTTTTTGTTAGTACGTGAGTTTATTTGCCCCTTTTCCATATATAATATGCAGTGCGACACACATATATATACCTGATGTTGATGCCCACTTGCATTGCCCCCATTAATTTCATTATAATTACGATTAGCAGAAAAGTAGCTGCTTCCCATTTGCCTCGCCTCATTAGTCTCACCCAAACAACCTCGCCTTAGTAATCTTTCAAACGTCGTCTGCCTGCAAAACCAAAAAGCCCGATCCTCTTTGTATAAGCAAGCTATGTGACGGCTAGTTCTACGATCGATCATTAGAATATACTATCTGATCTGAGTGTGAAACTACTACTATACACTAATGTTTGATGATGATGTGTGACATTTCTTTTTGGAATATATCATGTAAACTTTTAATTTTGATTAAGATATAAAAATCATATCAAACAAGTTGATGTTTTCAACATTATTTTATTCACTATAAGTCTTCGCATCTATTATGACTTTTTACCTAATTAAGATCAGAGAGTACGTAGTTTGACTTTGTTATGTTTTGAGAATTAAGAACAGTTTATTTTGTTGAGTTCAAATTATTAAGGGCATGCATGATTTTTTCAAATGGTTTTTCTTAATCTAGTTTGATCTTGTTAATTCTGATACGGTTTTGTACAATATGACTTTATATACTCACTCCATCTCTCAATAAAGTCTCAGTTTCCTTTTTGGAATATCCCTGTATTGAAGTCTCACTTCTTTATTTGATAAACAAATCTATATCAAACAGTGTCAAATTAAATAATGCAAAACAATGTCAAAATAGTGTACTTTATAGTCATATAATTAAGAGAGTACGTTGTAAATGTACTTTAAATGCAAAAGACTTCCTCATTTCGTTTTTGGAGTATCTCTTAATAAATTTATTTATTTCTTAATATTTGTGAAGTCAAATCAGGACTTTAATTAAGGATTGAGGTAGTCATATTTTGTGTAAACATGATGCCATGATGGTATCGATTTAATGGCAAAAACTTAATGTACGAAAAAAGTAGTACGTATTATACATTTATACTATGCATATCTAAACATTTTAAAGCACAATTACTAAGCAATAAGCAGGGAGAGGAATAATAGAATTTTGACTTGAACATATATGATTCTCTTAAAAAAGTCCATCATTTTTTTCGGAAAGTAAACCCTAGACTCATATAAAAAGAATTATTATTAACTATTTAATTTCCACCATCACACAAAAAAAGAGTTTTTGTCTAAACTACTACTAATAAAAAAAGTCATGGACAAAATATGACCTAGTAACTATAAGTTACTATAATTTTGTTCAAAACTTACGTCCTAGTCATGACTATATTATAGTAACTTTGAACACAATTATAGTAACTAAAAGGTATCAAGTCACATTTTTGTCCATCACTTTTCTAGAAGTAATATTAATGGAATTTTTTCAATAAAAAAACCATTTCATTTCCTTTTAAATTTGAATATGTCACAACTAAAAAAAAGAATACTACTACCTCCGTCCCTTTTATATTGGGACGGAAGGGGGTGACACAGTTATCAAGAAAAGTGAGTTTGTGTTATTAATATTAATTAATAAAGTACGAATAAAGTAAGAATGATTTAGAGCCACACAAACTTTACCAAATATGGTATGCGAAAATTTCAGTGGAACTTCCAAAAAGGTAAAACAGGACAATATAAAAGGACGGAGGGATTAGCTTCCCATCCACGCACAAACTCATGTTTAACTAGTTCAATTCGATCTTTTCAAAAGAGGTGTAATTTGGTTGGTCAAACATGCCACGTGAACAAACAGATAAATAAAAAGTAAAACACGAGTATGTGCAGTACGTACTACTGCCATGTAAATATATATGGAGTATATTTTCCTTCTTAATTAAATTCTATGATGGGATAGGACATGTGATATCGTTTCTAAAGTCATATGGTCAGGCTTCTATAACAGTGACCTCAGAATTTGGTCATAGAACCGTATAATTGAACTAATTAGATTGTTATTTCGAAAGCAATTAGATTGTTTTTTTAATTAATCATGACTTCATTATTAGCTAAAAGTCAGATTAGAATATGCATGCACACAAAAGTCGCGATTTCCCATCTCTTTTAGGTGTTGCCATTGAAAATCAATGAATGGAATTGCCCAAAGTCAATAAGAAGGAAGAAGCACGAATTTAATTGCACATAATTAAAGGAAGATATATGCGCAAATTATTAATTATTAGGTAATTAATTAAGCTTAATTACCCTTGTGGATTCCAAGTTGTGGAATGTGGTCTCTCTTCACGGAAGTTGCAGGTGCTTTGCGTAGGAATGAAAACATCGAAAGTGGTTCGCTCCCTCATGTTTCTATACATCTGCTTGATTAAGTTAACGAGATCAATCACACATTATTATAGTATTATTAAAAGGGATATATTTTTAAAATAGGAGCAAAATGATTTGAGAATTACAAAATATAACTATCATGTTCCCCTAAATAAGAGTAATTAATGTCAAAGTTGGAAAGTACAACCTTGTTTAAAATATAGTATTATCAAAACTTGATAGTAATTACTCCTATATAGAGTAAAAATAAGGAGTATTAAATATGATAGTCTTATTTTGAAATATACAAGCATTTTAGTCTTATTTAAGGTTATTTCCCTATTAAAATGGATATCATTTTAATTATTCACAAACTCAACCTAACGGTCCTAATTAAATTATCCTAGCTTATTCCTAAAATGATAATGTAAAATATAAATCGCAAAACTTTTTCGATAATTAAGTGTTTTTCTTCTACTCATTACGAGTCCTTTTCAACGTACTTCCATTTCTAACTTTATATACCTTTTTGTCTCTCATGTTACACTATTTATACTATTTCTCTCTCTATGAATACCCTGACGAGTGGAATAAAACAGCAGACGAACGAATGTTTAATGTAACTACTTGAATCGTATGTAAACCCTTCACCTTACCTAGATAGATATAAAAGCTAGTGCGTATTACTATGCTTGAATAACGATAAAGCAACTTAATCCTTATTCATACTCTGATTATTTTTAGTAAATAAAATTTACATATCCAGAATTTAAATTAAAACCGTTACAATGCCTGATAAAAAAATGTAAATTTGATAAAAAAATTGATAAATAAAGCAAAACATTAAAAATGATTTAAGTTGATCATATAAATACTGGACGGGAACCTTCTAATGGGACTGAGGTAGTACTCTGTAAGATAAGAAATTATAATGATAAAATAAAAAAGGAAAAGCTGAAAAGAGAAAAAGTAACCGGCCTTTTATAGAATTTCAAATTACTTTGCTCATAAAAAGTAAAAGTATACTTCGTATTTCGATCAAAATGGGATGGATATTAAACTTTTTAGGATGGTACGAAAAAGTAAAAGTCAGAAGATAATTCTTTAATAAATCCCACTGGTTTCATAATTCATACTCGTATTTTTTGCTCATTAGTCAGACCAATCATTTTCTTACCAGGAAATGTTGATTCGAGCATTAAATTGCCTAATAAAGAATATTCAAAAAAATGTAAAATAGATGTTCAATTTTTTACTAAATTTTTTGAAGAAAACTATTTTAACGATTTTATATACTAGTTTCGTACGGAGTATATTTTAATTAGTCATTTTTTGCTTTTGTAGTTAATGGTGATAAACTTTGATAAATCATTTTAAATAGTACACTTGTGAGAAATTTATTTATTCTTTAATGATACGTAGCAGTATTTTCAAAAACATCCATTCACATATATTATAGATACATTCACGTATAAATATATTATCGGTCAAAATAACTTACTAAAAAGAGACAAAAAGAGTATGTATTATCTTTATTTTATTTATAAAATACATTTTAAATGTAATTATGTCATAATTCACCAGCTCGGTCAACATTCAAATTTAATTAGTTTTGCCGATTTGTGCATATTATGCTCATTCAACTCATTAATTTTAGAGTTATCTGGTTCGAAGTGTAAAAGAAACATCAAGCTAAGAAAGAAGCCATGGCTGCTTAATCGCATGTAGGAACCTATCTAAAGCCAGCCGCGCTATATAGGTAGGCCGGTAGACTAGCTAGGCCAGGTAGGTTTCGCGTATTCAATGAAACTTTAGACGAAAAATGTCAATGGCGGAGCTTTAATATATTTTATTTTATACATGGAATTTATTTATATTAGAAAGGAATTGCTGACAAATTATCCAAGAACACACCCATCAGTGGGATGAATTAAATGGGATTTTGTTAATAAACTCGATCTTAATTATAAACAATTTTTATCTGGCTAGCTCAATCTATCATTTAATTAGCCTGCAGGTATATATATATATGGTTGTTTATTACTACTACTACTACATGCTGAAGGAATTAACTTACTTTAAAAAAACTCATTAACTTATATATACTCCGATCCGTATGTATGTAAAATAGTGTTATACAACTAGCTAGGTATAGTACGTATAGTACGAAGTTAATTATTACCTGAAGATGGCTTTTGACGTGAGAAATCTTTAATCCTTTTACACCCATCAACTGCACAATTCTCTTTGGAGTTGCTTCTGCACAGACAGTACATAATCCCCTTAGCTTTTTATTTCCTCAATTGGGAAATCATTACAAGGCAGGGAATGTTTTATAACTTGAAATGATCGATCATTTTAAACTGTAACGACGTCACGTTGGCGCTAGAAATGGTAGTTAAGGGAATAAGTAATCGAACGTACAGACCCTCTATGTATACGTAAATTAATTATTAGCTACCAACATAACATATCATATTATCATATGCATATAGCAAAGTTTTATTAATTAATTATTCAAGGTCGAATGAAAACACTAAAATAACGACTACTCACTGTAGCGGCCGCCGAGATGCTCGACGGCGTCGACGAAGTGGTCATGGAGCTCCGGCGTCCACTGCAAACGCGGCACAGCGGATTTCTTGTATTGCCTAACCCCACTTCTCTCATTATTAATATTAATGATATGATTATCGCTTTTCTTCACCATCATTCCTATCTATCGATCTCGATCTATATATTGGGTAAATACCAATTCAAGTATATATATATATAATGATCGATCGATTCGATCCAGGGCGGGAGTCGGAGATTATGGACTTTTCTTCAGTAATTAGGCTGTGTGGACTTCCGCAACTAATTAACATTCTCCATTTCCGTATATATTTATACAGCTAGCTAGCTAGCGAGTACGTATATATATACGACGACAAAAGAATAAAAAATAAATATATACGGAAGCTAGGTGTATATAGTAGAAACAGAGACGACAACGTTATGCTTCTTCTCTCACGACACTGACCTTCAATTTGACACATGCATTGTTTTTTTAATACTATATGTAACTGGCCGGAGTAGTTTTTACTTCATTGATTATTTAATTCGTTCCTCGTGGCCGACTGAAGGTTAAGTGTGGGCAAAAATTCAGGTCAAGTTGTATTATTCATTGTTACTATATTTCTCTCATCAAACATTATCAATTTTGAATCAAACATGAAAAATAAGAAAATTGAAAATTATATTGTGAAGGTTCGAGACTTCGAGTAGAGAGAAGATAAATGATCGAGTAGAATCACCAACTCATTCTTTTAATGGGAAAATGACATACAAATTTTTTTGGGACAAAAAAGTAAATGTATGTATATCAAAGGCAAGTGATTTTATAGTAATTTTATAAATATGATGAAAAGTCAGATGTCCCTCAAAACATGGTGTGCAAAGTTAAGTTTCCCAACAAAAAAAATCATGCATAACTATGTAGAGCCCGTTTGGTAGCACAAAAATCGGCTGTTTTGGCTGATTCTGCTGAAATTTATGAAGTTCTGGCTGAAGTGGCTGCTTTGGCTGTTTCTGCTGATTTAAGTAAAAATTATTTTTAAAATATATTTTATTAATAAAGTAAAGAAAAAATTATATGTAAAAATAGCTAAAATGGTCATCTACAGTAACTTCAGCCAATACAGCCAGAAAAGTAACTCCAACCTTACTTTTTCTGCTTATTACACAACTCAGCGCGCGAAAGTAAAAATTACGTGTTTGGTGAAAAAGCTGGCTGATAAGCCTGATAAGCCGAAAAATGAGGTTACCAAACGGCCTCGTAAGCTACTTTAAGATGTTTTCTTTTCAACTGTTTCAGTCTCAAATCAGACCAGATCACATCAGACCCGACTTAAACAAACTAAACCAGATTAGACCTTACAACACTTGGACAATTATAAAATACACAGTGATCAGTCATTTATGAGACCAGACTAGTTCAAACCAAATCAGATCAGATCAAACCAGATAAGACTTAAACATATCAGACCAAACCAGCAAATTTTAGTCCAAAACATGCTCAGATTCCTCTATCATTCTATATACGTAGTATTATACGTAGCATTTATCATTTTATCTTATTATTTTTTTTAAGCTTGTGAGCTAAGTTTTTGCGGCACTAGCTAGTGTCTAAATTTAATGGAAATTCTGAAGTTTCTAATTGCTTAAAAGATATTGTTATTATTGTTAGTTACTATTCAACTTATATTGTCTTTACAAACGTTAATTGTTTGACGCAAATATAGTGCAAGTAGAAATGCTAATATGTTGCAATTTTGTAATTTTGTTTGGGCTGCTTTAAAACGTCCCGATGGGCAAAAACTTGTCTCATGCTCTAGCAAATGGTTATGATGACCGAGTTTGGTGAGGAACAACTCAAGTCTCTAACCGTCCCGGCTTAATATTTGAATTCCTTGGTTTAAAAGGTAAAGTGGATTGAAGAATTTAGGATAGATATATGCATTAATATAGACTTTTTTGCATACTTACGAATGAAAATGCAAATTTATTTACTTATATTAAATCAACGTACAGTTTATTTGGTAGCTAAAATGGGCCAGCATTTGCTTATCCTGTTTAAACATAGAAAAAATCACATACGGCGCGGTAAATTTTGACTGATTTGGGTAAAAAGCAAGTTTAATGCATTTTCTTCCAAAGAATCCAACAGATACATTCATCCAAATATTGATTAGTAACAACATCTATTGGGATGGAAGACGAATCTTCGATTTTGTTCTTTCCGTTCCACTGCACGTGGAATCCCTACCTTCTAATTTCGAATCTCCCAACACCATGCGGGCATTTAGGCTCATAATTGTCAAATCATCCACAAGACCCCAATTCGCGTAGTGAAGGGAAAATTACAGTACTAGTGGATTATATCAACATTAATTATTTCTTTTTGAGGTGCAATCTCCACTCTCCAGCCCAAAAATGGGAGTTTTATATCTTTCCATTCTTTTTATAGAAATTACTTCAAATAGGACTAAAACTATGACAAAAATTCAAAATAGGACTTACTATGTTTTTATTCCAAAATAAGACCATAGTGGTCCTATTGGAAACATACATACTCATTTCTTCCTTCCATTCTTACCCCTACTTTAAATATTAGTAAAAGATAGCTAAAAGTCATAATTAAATGTTTAATTCATAATCAATCCGAAAAAATTTCAATAATTTGTAGAAAAATAATAAAAAAATTAATAAAATTTTATAAAATAAAAAATAAGATTTGTTTTTTTTGCAAATTAATAAAAATTGGTAAAACTCCATAAAAAAATTAAAAAAAAATATGGATACCTTTCCCACCGCCTGTACTACCTCCCTGAACCATCACCTCCGATCGGTGTAAGAAATGCCACTTTTTTTTTTAAATTCCACAAAAATGGCATATTTCTCTATGAGAATGCCAACATTTTCATTCTGCCAATTTGAATCCTTTTGACTTTTGCCAAAAATATGGGGTTCATAATTTTTTTGGCATTTTTTTTACCCTGGTGACAGGAGGTGGTGGTACCGCCTCCCTGCACCACCACCTCTGACCGTTAAAAAAAATGCCATATTTCCTACAAACTTCCATTTTTTTCGGAAAATGCCAAAAACATGGCATATTTCTCTTTGACAATGCCAACATTTCTTTTCTGCCATCTTAAATCATTCTGAATTATGCCAAAAATATGGAATTCATAATAAATTTGGCATTCTCCCCCAAATGACTAGAGGTGGTGGTGCTGGGGCAGCAGAGGCGGCAGTGACAATTTTTTTTATTTTTTTTATTTTTTAATTTTTTTTATTTTTTTTAAAATTTATTATTATTCAAAATATTTTTATTAACTTTTTGGTATATTTTACGAATTTTTATTATTTTTTATTATTTTATTATGAATTAAAACATTCCAATAGGTACAAGGGTATATTTGTCCAAGACACACATAATTAGTCCTATGGAAACATAGTTTATTTTTTGGTCCTATTTGTGCAAAGTGAATGACTTTTAGTCCTATTTTGATAATTAACTCTTCTTTTTATTATTTGTTACATATTCTCTTCTGCACATATTTTTATTATTGTCCACATTTCTCCTTAGTAAGTTTTTCTGATAAAAATACCTATATATTCCTTTTATTACTCTTATTTTTTACTATTTACAAACTATCTTTATCAATTCCTACTTAATTTATCAATGCTTTCATCTTATTAATATACTTCTTTCCTATTTAATTTTTTCATTTACCCTACTCACTTTATATTACTTCCACTGTTTTCTCCGTATGTGTATTATATATCGTGAAAAACTTAATTAATAATAGGTAGATTCTATGGTACCCATAAGGTATCATACATTTGTCCATATGGAGCAATCAGAACAATGCAGTTGAATTATTTAAATCTAAATTAAAGATGATATAATGATTTGGACCAATCAAATGCATGATAGGTACAGTATCTCATTTTTTAAATGGGTACCGGAGTTGTCACCTTAATAATAATGAGATGCAATATTGAGATAAATACCAGTAGTATGAAGTAAAGTTCAAATTTAATTTCCCGTTGGAAGAGCAACGCCAACTACTCCGTACTGTATGCATTTGCTACGCACAAAAATATGAATATATGTCATGAGGGTTGCATTATCAATTTATCATTTATCAATCTATAGTCAAATGGGAAAAGGTGAATTGATTATCCTACCTGCATCCTTGAAAGTTTTAGGGTTTTTCGTATTCATTTTTTGTCAATGACAAACTTTAGACAATGATTTTATGATTATATTTGTATATAATTTATGAATTTTATATTTTTAAGAAAGTATTTTAAATAAGGAGCATTTTAATATATTTTTCATATCCAAAATAATTTCATATTAAAAAATATCATTGGTCAAAGTTGATTATCATTGATGAAAAAGGCATTTTGCCAAATCTTTCTGGGACTCAGCCTAGAATAATGGAAAGAGGAATAGGCTCGTAAGCTTGTTTATCATATATACTTTGAGACCACATAGTGAACTGTGAACATGATTAGGCCCGTCAATGGGTCAGGTCTGGGCCGGAACGTAGTGTTCAAGACCCGGAGCCGCTAATTTAATAAAGGACCCGACTTGTATACCCAGGGCCCGACGAGTCTTAAAAATTGGACCCAATTTCAGCGGGTCTGGGAACTAGATTGGGTAGACCCGCCAAATATGAGATACAGATCATTACAAACATTGGGGAAATGACCAGATCACATGTATATGAAGCACTAGCGTTTACTCGCGCAAGGCGCGAGAGTGTTTGCCCAACTTTAACACTTGAGACCAATAGTTGTCTGTAGATGAACATCCTCATGAAACTATGAAAGTAAGCAGAATGCTTTACCATAATCATCCATGTTTCTTCCAAGTATCTTGAATCATATTAAGGAATTCAAAAGCCCAATACTCTTTCCCTCATCTCCCTTTTTATCCCAATAGTGGTCTATAACTCTATAGAATTGATATAGTAATAATTAGGGGTGGGCGCGGTCAGGCCCGGTCTTGACTTTTTGAAGACCCGGGACATATTGCAAAAATGGGCCCTTCAATTATAAAGCTGAAAAATAATTTCTATTATAAAAGCAAAGTTTAATACAAAAAAACAGTAGCTCAATACATAAAGCATGATACTTAAATACGTAGTAGTTCATTAAAAAATAATTACAAAAAATAATTTCGCCAAGCGTTTTTAGATGAAGAATGAAGCTATTAGCTATAATAGAAACAGTGAAACACATCAATTGAAATAAGGAATCCACATTCAAAAACCTGTAGTACAAAAAGTTCCTGTTAAATATTTAGAAATATTAACATTGAATCTAGTAATTGTAATCTGGTTATTGGAAAACATATCTAAAATAACTGATGAATCAAGACATTAAGAGTAATTTTAGAGACTTAGAGTTTAAGTAAATCACCTAATCACCTATTCACCTCCACAAATCCACTCTGGTATTGACCAATTCACCAATTGTTAAAGGGCCCCTTCAGTCTTTCAGATTTGGGATGAAGTAATAAAAATAGAAGAATTAATCGACAACGAAGACAAGTCTGAGGCGGCAATGGAAAAGAAATTGAAAGATAAATCAAAAGAGAGAATTGGATACCAAAGTAAAGCATGAAAAAAATCTATATTAGATCTAATGAACTTTATAGACTAGAAGAAAATGTTGTCATTTGAGTGGAAGATGAAAGCAGATCGCAATTCCCAAATCCCAATTCCGAAGAGTCGAAGAGATGCAAGCAGCAAGCGGTGGTTTGCCTTCTATGCTTCTAATTGTTGGCCAAATTAAAAAACCCGTAGTGGGTAATGGCGCACTATAGCACTATCGATTTACTATACGGAGTATTGGAGTAATATTACTAACTTAATAATATTAATATTATGCATTTATATATATAATATAACCTATAAAAGGAAGGGTTTCTCTCCCTAGCTGTCTAGGGTTTTCTTTGCCGTCTTTGTGATCAAGGGTGTCTTTTCCGCCGGTCTTGGGCGAATTTTCACGACGACATGGCGGAAGACATGGAGGATCTTTATGCCCGGATGAACTTGAACGATGATGAAGGGGAAGGCGTGGATATTGATGAGGCCGTGATGGAATTTCCACCAAATTCTACGTCGTTATGCATGGTTGGCCGGTTGTTGACGGATAGGGCTGTCAAGTTTGCTTTTTTCAGAGATACAATGGCCGATGTATGGCGTCCAAGGGGAGGAGTTAATATCAGGGAGGTCGGTGATCGTAGATTTTTGTTCCAATTTTACAATGAAGTAGACTTTGAGAGAATTCTAGTGGATGGACCTTGGTGCTACGAGAATACATTGCTGATCCTTCGGAAGTTGGAAGCGTTTGATAATCCCATTAAAATCCCATTGACACATACATAATTTTGGATCCAGGCTTTTAACCTGCCTCCCGATCTCTTCTCGAAGGGAGTAGCCAACATTATTGGAGACCAGGTGGGTAAGTTTATATTGGCGGATGAAAACAACTTCAAACGGCTGGGGTGGAAAGAATTTATGCGGGTCCGTGTTCGCATGGAAGTTGAAGCCCCGTTGAAGCGGCGGGTTAAATTGAAACGGAAAGGGGAACCTCTATGGATTGATATTAAGTACGAGAGGCTACCACACTTTTGCTTCATATGTGGACTGATGAACCATATTGAACGAATGTGTTCCAGGAGATTTGAATTTGCAACGGAAGGGAAGGAGAAACCATACGGGAATTGGCTTAAGGCGGGCTTCAGAAAAGGCAGTGCAGGGCGGGGAAGTAAGTGGCTGGTTGATGGGGAAGGAAAATTTATCTTTGGTAAGCCAAACCAGGGGGAGCCGGAAAGGTCATATGCGGAAGAAGATATGGGAGCAGACGTCTCTGACTATGGGGAAGGAGGTGTTAGTAAAAAACGGAAGGCAACAACAACTAGTTATACGGGTGAAGTATCTAAAGAGGCTGTCTTAGCCGGAGGTGATACCATGGACTTGGGTTTTTCAAAAAACGAGCAAGCGGCGGGTTCTGGTTCCCAGACCCGCCGAGAACCATGAGTTGCTTAAGCTGGAACTGTCGGGGGCTTGGCAACCCAGCGACAGTTCAAGTTTTGGTGGACATCGTTCACTTGAAGAGGCCGTCGGTAGTCTTTCTTGTAGAGACCTTTTCTAATTCACAAAGAATTGATATTATTACAAAGAAGTTAGGATTGTCACATAGTTTTGCAGTAGACTGTGTGGGTCACCGGGGAGGACTTGCATTGATGTGGGGCGAGGGTGTACAGGTTCGGATACCTGGGTCTTCTGCTAACTTCATTGATACTATTATTAGCTTGGAGGTTGGAGCTCCGGAATGGCGATTCACGGGCTTCTACGGGTTGCCGGATAGGAGTAGACGGAAGGAATCCTGGGGAATTCTCAAATCTTTGAGTGTGAGTAATAATGTTCTGTGGTTAGTTATGGGGGACTTTAATGATCTTATGGTGCCCTCAGATAAACGTGGAAGAGTTCCCCACCCACCTTGGCTGCTAAGAGGCTTTCGGGAAACAGTCTGGGCGTGCGGTCTCCAGAACTTTGCTTTTAAGGGTTATCAATATACTTGGGAACGGTGGAGGGGCTCTCCAAACTGGGTTGAAGAAAAACTAGACAGAATTCTTGTGTCAGAGGGGTGGCTTGATATTTTTGGTGCGGCTTGGGCTGAATCTTTAGAGGGCGCTCCTAGCGATCACCTTGCTCTCTTTTTGAAAATTATTCCCTCTCAAGACGTGCGCAGGAGGCGCAAATTTAAATTTGAAAATGTCTGGTTAAGGGATTCAGATTGTCGCGAAATAGTTGCTCGTAGCTGGGGCCTCGGCCGAGATCTGGGCATTATGGGGCAGGTTCATTCCTGTGGTAAGGCTGTGAGTGACTGGGGTTACCGGAGAGTTGGCTCCTATGGCAGGAGGATTGATTTCTGCAAAAAACGCCTGGATCATCTTCGTAGGCGTACGGATGCATGGAGTATTGGGGAATTCCAGAGAGTAAAACAAGAGTATTTAGAGCTTCTGGAGCAGGAGAATATCTATTGGAGACAAAGAGACAAAGAATTTTGGCTAAAAGGGGGTGATCTCAATACTAAGTTCTTCCATAATTCGGTGAAAAATCGAAGGTGGAAGAATAGAATTGAAGGCTTTAGACTGGAGGATGGCCGCTGGGTTGATGATCGAACTGCTATTGGTGATGTTATCGAGGGCTATTTTAATCAGCTATTCTCGGCCGGATTAGGTGGAGGAGATTTTATTTTTGGTCTCATTAATCGGATGATTGATGAAACTCATAATGCAGATCTCATGCGACCTATACGTGGGGAGGAGGTTAAGGAAGCTCTTTTTGATATGTTCCCAGATAAATCACCAGGGCCCGATGGTTTTAGCCCCGGGTTTTATCAGCATTATTTGGATTTGGTAGGACCGGATGTGATTGCTTTCTGCAAGAAGGTCTTCGATACTGGTAAGCTTCCCGATAAAATAAATCTTACTAATCTTGTACTAATTCCTAAAAAGGAAAAACCAGAAACTATGGGGGACTGGAGGCCAATTGCACTTTGTAATGTGATTTATAAAATTTTCTCTAAGGTTTTGGCGAATAGATTGAAGCGTTGGTTGTATCTTTGTATTTCTGAACAGCAGAGTGCATTTATTCCTGGTCGTTTTATTGTGGATAATATTATGTTGGCCTTTGAATCCCAGCATTTTCTTAAAAGGAAGAAACAGGGGAAGTTGGGTTTTGCTGCTTTAAAACTTGATATGAGTAAGGCCTACGATAGAGTTGAATGGCCTTTTCTGGAAGGAATGATGCGTAGTCTGGGATTCAGTGAGAGATGGACCCAGTTGATTATGGAGTGTGTTACATCTGTCTCTTATTCTATCCCGTTTGAGAACGATGAATTTATTCCTTGTTTACCGGGGAGAGGTCTCCGCCAAGGGGACCCTTTATCTCCTTATCTGTTCCTTTTGGTTACAGAGGGCCTTAGTGATTTACTCCGATATCATGAGTCTACGGGTCGGTTACATGGAGTGAGGGTTGCTCGAGGTGCCCCTATGATTTCTCATTTGTTTTTTGCAGACGATAGTCTTTTATTCTTCAGGGCTACGCACGGGGAGGCTACATTGATCAAGGAGACCCTTTCTGAATATGAGGAGGTTTCGGGGCAGGTAATCAACTTTCATAAATCAAAATTATTTTTTAGCTCAAATGTGGGGTCTGATTGTCGTGAAGGGTTGATTGATCTCTTGGGTGTTGATGTGGCGGGTTCCAATGAAATTTACCTGGGACTGCCAACCTTAGTGGGAAGGGGGGAAAAGGAAATTTTGAGCTATCTCAGACATAGAGTGGTCAATCGTATTCATAGCTGGAATAACAGGTTTCTCTCGAAGGCGGGTAGAGAAGTCCCGTTGAAGGCCGTTATTCAAGCAATGCCTACTTATGCTATGAATGTTTTTCTTTTACCTATTGACTTGTGTCGGGAAATTGAGGTTCTTATGAACGGCTTCTGGTGGCAAGGGAAGTCGGGTAGGGGTATTCGGTGGAAAGCTTGGGATTTTCTCAGTCAACCGAAAAATTGTGGCGGCATGGGATTTAGAAGATTACATGAATTTAATCTAGCAATGTTGGCTAAACAGGCTTGGAGGCTTTTTTCTAATCCTGATTCTCTCGTCGGGAAGGTGTACAAAGCTCGTTATTATCCTAGTGGCGACTTCTTATCAGCCAAGATTGGTTATAATCCCTCTTTTATTTGGCGGAGTATTTTTCAGACTCAAGAAATTATCAGGGAAGGTTTTAAGTGGAGGGTTGGAGATGGCAAGCTGATCAACGTGTGGCGTGACCCGTGGCTTCCAGACCCAGAGAATCCAAGGGTAACTTCGCAGGTGCCAGAAGGTCTCTAGGAAACCGTGGTGGCTAACCTATTGGACGAGTCTGGCACTATGTGGGATGAAGACCTGCTTCTGGACATATTTAATAACCGAGATATGTCTCAGATTAAAAGTATCCCAGTGAGCTTTCGACGGGTGGCGGATATTCGACATTGGAGATGGGAGGAGAATGGGCACTTCTCAGTCCGAAGCTGCTACAGGAAACTAATTGGGGATATTAATCAGCCACACTGGACGGGTTGGGCTAAGATGTGGAAATGGAGTATTCCCCCTAAACTAAAAGTGTTTTTTTGGCAGGTATGTACAGGGTGTTTACCAACAAAAGAAAATCTTCGGGCTCGGCAAGTGGGCTGTGATGAGTTGTGTGGTCTTTGCGGCAGGGAGAAGGAAACCATGCTGCATCTTTTCCAGGCATGTACTGTGGCTAAGGAAGCTTGGGCAGAGGTGAAGTGGAAGTGAAATGCTTGCGGAGCAGCTCATTTCCAAGAACTATTAGAGGTGGAATTTCAAACTAGGAGAAGAGATGATTTAGAGAAACTAATTTGGGGTTGCTGGGCTTTGTGGAGAGAACGAAATCAAAGGATCTGGGAAAAAAATTCTTCTCTTGCAGGTCAATTCATGCGGAAGGCTGAGGGATATGTCCAAGGTTGGTTGCAGGTGCAGGTTGCTGGTAGGAGGGGAATAAGGGTCGCTGTGCAATCTCGGCCCTCATGGAGCTGTCCAGTTAGAGGCCAAGTAAAACTAAACATTGACGCGGCGGTTCGAGCAGAGCATTGTGGTTTGGGATGGTGTATCCGCAATGAGGACGGTGACTTTCTGGCAGGAGTAGCGAGGCCATGGAAGGGTAGTCTTTCTCCATTAGAGGCGGAGATGATTGGTATCCGAGAGGCCCTGAGCTGGATTCAGGAGAAGGAGTGGACTGAGCTTGACATTGAGTCTGATTCTTCCCGAGCTATCTCGGAAATTCTTAAGGGCTCTAGTTGTACGTCGTACGGGTTAATTGCAGGTGACATCCGAGAATTGGCTAAGAATTTTTCGAGCATTTCTTTCTCGCATATTGGGCGGTCAGTGAACAGAGTGGCCCATGCTATGGCTAAAGCTGCTTGTTATATGTCTGATTCGCAGTCTTGGGTTTTAGATCCTCCTCTTTTTGTAATTTCTGAGTTGAAGTCTGATATTATTAATGAAAGCTAGCTTTTTCTTGTGCAAAAAAAATAACCTATAAAATTATGGGCCCCACTCTAACCATGGGCCCTGGGCATTTGCCCCCTTGCCCCTCCTCCAAAACCGGGTCTGGCTGTACGGTGAGCACCGTACATCCGGTTATTTTTGAAATTAAATTGAACTTTCAGGCTTATAGTTACGGTGGCAGCAAGCTACTTTCTCCAATTCTTCTTCGGTCTGCTTTCTATGAGCCGCACGTTCTCTGCTCTGCTTTTTTTATTTCTCTTTGCTTTTGTTTTTTCGTTTGTACGTTTCTAGGTTAGCCTATTACTTGTTGTTTTCCTTTTTTTTTTTGCTTTTTTCTTACTTTTTAATTCAAGAGCTTTTTGCTTTAATTTTATTCAATTATTATGAAAAATTATAATATAAAATATTAATACGGTGTCGAGTTTTTTTCTCTTTTTTTTTCAATCATCTTTTTAACATCATTTTTTAATTTGTCCATTATACAATATTTTTGGTATAAATGTTTTATTTTTCTATTTTTACTTTTTAAGATAAGTATTTATTAGTTATTAAATATTGTGTGTCAATTACTAACATGAGTTCTGTGTTATATTAAAATGAGTATAGTGTAAACTAAATATGCACAAATAAACATTTGAACACATTAGAGAATTCAAACGAGCTTTTAAATTCTTCGATACTCATTTTGTAAATCATGTATGTTCATTCGGTACTGGTTTTATGCTCATTTTCAAATGTCATATTAATGCATATTTTAAAAGTAACGTATTAGAGATCATGATACTCAATTGCGTGCTTCGGATACTCAATATAAGAAGTTTAATGTTCAATGAAAATGTCTTGATGCTCAATTAACAAAACTTATGATTTTTATATCATTGCTCATTTGGTAAGTTATGTAAGTTCACTTGGTGGTGATGTTATGCTCATTTTACATTGTTATCTTAATGCATATTTCAAACGTATCATATTACATTAGATTCAAGTTGGAGTTGATTACTCATACGGGTGCACTGATATGCACTAGTTAGTAGTGCATAAATGTGTATTTTTATATCTTGTTTTGTATGGATTGTTTACCATTTGTGTGTAGTTGTAAACATTTGTTTACTTTTTATTTGTAAGTGTTTTTAGCTTTTATTTGCGGGTTAGGAAGTTTTGGTAGAATTGTTGGCAAGGAAAAGGAAGAAAAACAAGGAGGATGCTGCCCAGAAGAATAAACCCGACCGGGTAGAAACCTTCACCCGGTCGGGTTTGAATTAACATTTGCAGTCTCCAGGAAATTGCTTGGCCCGGTCGGGCCCTATACCTCACCCGGTCGGGTGAGACTTGACCGAAGACAACCCGGCGTGTTGAAGAACATTAGAACATGGAAAATATTTGATTCGGACCAGTACCCGGTCGGGTAGATACTCTACCCGGTCGGGTACTCGGCCAAAGGTGTTGAAAAACACCTATAAATAGCACAATTTTCCTTCATTAAAAACAATCCCTTCTTCCATACTCTTAAGCTCAGTTTAGAATAGTATTTCTTTTATATTTTTATAGTATGTTTAGTCTCCAAATGAGGAACTAAACTCTTCCATCTTGGTTTTGCTACTTTGAAGCTTAATGAATTTGTAAGTTGTGAGTTATTCTCTTTAATCTTCTTCCTTGAATATTAATTCTTCCTTTAAATACTATTTCTATATCAATGTTGGGGAGTGTTACTAAGATGACAATTAGTTAACATCTTGACATTAGTTATAGTAATAATTATTTCTTCCTCTACGTTAATATTGGGGAGTGTTACTAAGATGACAATTAGTTAACATCTTGATATTAACTATAGTAGGATTCATCTTCGTTAATATTCTTTCTTGAGTATTAATTAATTCCTATTCATATTTCATATTAATATTTTGAACATTACTTAAAAGATCAACTAGTTTTGTTTCATATATTAATTAATACTAGAATCGGTCGATTAATACGCTTGTTATTAATTCGGTCCTTTCATGGTAGTAAACTTGGATTATTAATGCATGCATCTCATGGTTAATAATCTAAGGGGAATTAATTATATTGATTAAACCAATAAACCGCTTGTGTTGAGGTTATCAGTCTCAATCGTTTTCATCTTAAGTTTATTGCTACCATCAAGTTAATATACGGCGCTTGTTCTATATTGACTCGATAGTAAGTTTTATCAATGAACGCTTCTCGTTATTAATAACTACCCTCGATGAACTGGATATACTCCTCGATTGAGTATTCGAGAGGAAGATAGTTAAAGACATAACCGGGATCGACGAACATTTCATTAAGTGGATAAAAGCAAAGCCAAGTCTTCTTCTTATTTATTAAACCACATAACTCGTTCATCTTCGTGTTAAATTTTAATTAAATCATTCAATCAAAACCCCCCTTTATTTATTAGTTACATAAAAAGAGAATTATTCCTTTCCCTGTGGATACGAACCTTACTTCATTATACTACGTATAATTGTTGTATTGAATATTATTTTGAGTGCACACCACGACAAAGTGCACGTCATGCACAGATCATGATACTCAATTGCATGCTTCTAATACTCAACAGAAGTTTGATAATCAATGAAAATGTTTTGATGCTCAACTAACGAAGCTTATAATTTTCATATCATTGCTCATTTAGTAAGTTATGTATGCTCATTTGGTACTGGTGATATGCTCATTTTAAAATGTTATATCAATGCATATTTCAAAATTATCATATCACATAAGATTTGTGTAGGATTTGATATACTTAATTGCATGTTTCTAATACTCAATAGAGAAAGTTTGATTTTCAACGAAAATGTCTTGATGTTAAACTAAAAAACTTACGAGTTTCATATCAATGCTCATTTTGTAAGTTACGTATGCTCAATTGATACTTATGTATGCTCATTTTTAAAATGGCATATCAATACATATTTCAAAAGTATCATATTACATTAGATTCGCATATTGAAGTTCATAGGAGTTAATTATAGATAAATTTAATACTTCGTAAATTTTTATAAAAGGAAAAACAAGGAAAAGAATGTGAATCACAATATATGAAACACAGATCACAATGCTCATTGTTATGCTTCTAATGCTCAATAAAAGATGTCCGATATTCATTAAAAGAACATTAATATATCTCAACCATTTTACAAGTTCTTTTAACATAAAATTCAGTGCATAATAAAAACATCTAAAATTTGTTAAAATTATAGAACTGGAATAAAATTAGAAAAATCTAATCATAACAAGACCTATTATGAAAAACTCACCCATCTCTCAACATTATATACAAGTGGAACAAATAATAAAATGTTCCATGAAAAACGAAAATTGACATTCAATTTGAAATTTTTCCGAATATTATGATAAAAGAAGATAGATGTGTTAAATCAAATTGTATATCATTAAAGATTTTTGGAATTGGAAAGTTTCAATTTTATATACTCCATATAACTTAGAAATTGTTTGTATAAAAAGAAAAAAAGAAGTGAAGAAGGAGAGTTGAAAAAAAAACTGAGTTGAGCAACGGTATGGTGCAGGGACGATCATTAACGAGAGGGAGGGTTCATATGAAAGGTACGTACTCCGTATTAAATGGGCTCAGACTGGAGATAATTACAAAATTACCCGGTTGTATGGTGCTCACCATACAAACGGTTGTATAATATACGGACTCGAAAATTTATACGACAATATTGTATTTATTTATGTTTGGAATTATTTTGTTTTGTTTCAACCGATTTGAGAATATGCTTATGTTTGCTATTTTTATCCTTAGATCCAAGTGTTGTAACTTTATTGAGAGAATTCCCCTAATAGGACTAAAACATGGAACAATGCAAAAGTAGGACTCCTATGTTTAAATTGCAAAATTAGGACTACAAATTACTTAACCGGACAAAAATACCCTTGATGATTATAGATAACCGACAGACTAGCATCAGCAATTACATTGCCGCACATCAGTTCCGGTAGAGAATCCATAGCAGCGCACAAGGTAACCTCTTCTTCCTCTTTCCGTTCTTCTTCCTTCTTTCTTCCTCTTTCTTCTTCGATCTTCTTTCCTCTTCTTCATCTCATCTTCTTCTTCCAGATCCTTGTTTCTTCATTTTTCAATTTTTTATTATTGTTAATTCATTTACTATTTCAGATTATAAATTAAAATACTATTTTGGGTATGAAAACTTGAGATAGAAACGACAATTCAACGAATGATCATGATCACAAATATTTGGATTTGGGTTCTTATTACTTTTTTGGTTTTGATTAGATTTGTTTATGAAAATGCTATAAATGCTTGTCATTAGAAAAAATGTCACTGTTATGCCATTATATATTAATTATGAAATAAATACATAAATATGACCAAAATAAAGATGGTCTACAAAAATATGACTTGTTACTAGAATAGTAATGAAATCATAGTAATTCATGTTCAAGTTTTGAACTTAAGTTACCACAACACTACGTTGTAGTAATGAATAGTCATATTTATGTAAATAAGTTTTGTTTTAGTAATATTCTTGTAAAAACCCCTTATATTATATCAAGATGTCAATATTTTAATGACATGTTTTTTGACTGGATTGCCAAATGTCATTTTTAGAGATATTATTTCCGAAAATGGCATGGTGATGGAAGTTTCATATAAAAACATGACACAATTCTCAGTTGTAAAAAATGTGAATTTTTAGATGAAAAATAATGGCAATTTAAGGATGATAATTCTGACATCATTTTGAAAACATGTCAAAAAACATGTCATTCCTAATTAATAACAAGTAGTTATTTCATTCTCAGATAAGTCATAAAAATGCCACAAAATGCCATAAGAATGCCATTTTCTTA